GCGAAAGCTCGTAGATCTACAAATCTCTTCAACCTTCAAATTCAAATTGCCGGTGATTCACATGGACCCACCGTAATCCGAAGACATGCCCGGACTCGTCTCGCCGAGCCGCACCTTTTCCGGCCACCGTCGCCGGAACCCGGCGAACTTTTCCGGCGACCATTTTTTCCGGCGAACGAGCACCCACCGAGTTTCCGGTTAGTATTTTTGAGCTTTTCTTGTCATATGCCTTCGATTCCTTTCGTTTGGTACCTTTTTCCGGCGACCGGATCTCCTATTTTTCTATATTTCTCTATTTTCCGAACTCCGGCGACCGTTTTTCTCGAAAATTTTCCAAAGTTCAACGTCTCGATTTTGATTTGTATTTCCGTTCCTCCATTATATGCGTTGTGCTTGGATCACTACTCTTGCCGGAGTAGTCGTATTGAGATTTTTTGGGATAGACTTGTGTGTTTAGGCACGTCTTGCCGGGCGTGCCACATATACGTGTGTTTTTGCCGGTAATTTGAGTTGTAGGTACCTACTCACGGCAAGCGCCGGTAATCGCTTATGCGTTGCATACATACGGAGTTCGTTGTGTTGGACCATGTGGAAATCGACAAGGACTTCGAGGCCCGATTTTGCGCTTTCACGTGAACGTGTGTCCACGTCGAGTTTATGCATTCATAGTTACTATCTCTCCGGGACACACACATGGCCTCTCTCGATTCGTGTGCTCAAATGCTAAATCGTTTGGATGACTCATATTCACGCTCTATTGTTTTCGGTTGACCTCTCTATTCCCTCCGAATGACCATTATTGGACACACGGTGGTGACGACCACCGTGTCGAGTACGCATTTTATTTTCCTATTTTCTCGTTCTTTATTTGCTTCTTGTGTGTCTTTGTGTGTTTTTGTCTTGTTTGTTTATTTTTGTGTCTCGTCTTTATTTTTATCGCATGAACGTTCGTGATTATGTGCTTTCGCCTATACTTTTTGGTCAAGCAATGAGGACATTGCTTTGTTTGAAGTGTGGGGGAGGTATTTCGTGATTATGCATGTTTAGGTGATATTCTCTTCATTTTCGTGCCTTATTCTTCGTTTTTGTTGTGTCGTGGACCGGTTTTATTTGAGTCTTTGGTGTGTTCGTGTCATCTCTCCCGCATGGAACTTGATGTTTGTTCGAGAGTCGAGATAGCTAAGTGGTGAGTCGAGATTGTTGATTGGTTTCACTATTAGCATTCATGCTTGATGAACTTGATGAATTTGACGGTTTCCCTTGATTGATTGATGATTCGTTGACATTGGAACTCGCATGTGGATTAACGGAATTGTTTTGTCCTTGGGTTGTTTTCGATTGGTTGTCTTGAGGCATGCTTACCTTATGCTCGATTATTGTTGTAAACGTGTTCTCTATACGCTTGTGGTACGTTTCGATTGATTTGTGATGATCATGTATTGGA